TCACAGTGGTGATTTTTTTTTTATTTGTTTTTTTAAGTGGTGCCGTGCCTTGCCGAAGCTTCGTGCCCGCACTCAGGTGAGGCACAGGCAGCCCCGGCCCGGTCCTGCCTGCAGACAAGGCAGCGGAGCTCGTTGTCATCATCCCTCCCCAGAGTGCTGCCGCGAGAAACATTTAGAGAATTTATTTTTGCTGTTTACGCTTTGAAGAGAGGAGGTTTTGGTTTTTTTTTTTAATGGGGCGGGTTTGGATTTTTTAGAATTTAATTTTTTGCGAACACGATGAAAATAAGGAGATGAAAGACGCCAAATAAGAGAAATCGGCGTTAACACAATGCAGCGGAGGGGAGAACAAGTGCACCCAGGTCCTTTCCTAGAGCCACCCGGGAGCCGGGGGTTACTAAACCGTTCTTCCCTTCACTCCAGGGCACTCACGGCTCCTCCATCCCGGCCAGAGCACCCGCAGTGTTGGAGCATCTCTCCAAGCATCTCTCCGCCGAGCTCCGGCAGAAAGAGCCGGGAGCCCGGAGCCGGTGCGGGGGTGGCCGGGGACAGGCAGCGCCTGTGGCTCCCGGCAGGGTCCGGCACAGCGGGTGCCTCAGGCAAAGCTGGGTGAAACTCCAGCACAACCCCACATCGAACCTCAAGCTGGGGGTCGGCAGGGACTTTGTGGGGCACCGAGGGGCTGTGGAACGCGTTCCGAGCCGCAGAACATGCACGGCGCCCTGAGTGCGGGTTCCTCACATCCCGCACCGCTCCCACGCTGGCTCTGCCTTCTCGGAGAGCGGAGGGCAGCAGGGGCTCCTCACCTGCATCCCCCCGAGCCTGCAGCCCCCAGGGATGAGGAAGGTGATGAGGAGCTGGAGTGGGTGATGAGGAGCGCCCGGGCTGTGGAGTTCCGCAGGGGCCGGGGGGGCCGAACGGGAGTCCCGGTGCCCGCCGGCCCTGCCCGGTGCCGCACGGGGTGCGGGGAGCGGGACGGGACCCGGGCGGTGTCCGCGCCCCGACGGCGCCGGGGGGCTCGGCCCGGCCCGGCCCGGCCCGTCCCGCAGGAGCGGGGCCGCAGCGCCACCTGGCGGCTCGGCTCGGCACGGCCCGGCTCGGCCCGGCACGGCACGGCACGGCACGGCACGGCACAGCACGGCAATGTCAGCGCTCTCTGGACTGTGCCGGGAGCCACCGTCCCGGCCACAACAGCTCCAGCGGCGTCCACGGAGCCTGCACACACCTGTCCGCACCGTGGCACCTCCTGTTTCCCTTCCTTGTGAACCCACATCCATCCCTTCCATCCCATTCCTGGCACCCTGAATCCCCCGCACCCTGCGCCCACCTGTCCCGCAGCTGGCATCCCATTCGCTGCACCTGGGACCTTCCCCTGCGCCCTGCATCCCATTCCTAGCACCCTACATCCACAGCTTGCACTTCACATCCCAGCACCCTAATTCCCAGCACGCTGCATCCCCTGCCCTGCACCCTACATCCTATTCCCTGCACCTGTGGCCTTTCCCCTGCATCCTACATGTCCTCCCCTGCACTCCACATCCATATTCTGCACCCCACAGTCCATTCTTTGCACCCTACATTTCGTCCTGCACCCTACATCCCATTCCTTGCACCCTGTATGCCCTGCCTTCCATTCCTGCATCTATGGCCTTTTCTCTCCCTGTATCCTATTCCTTGCACCCAACACCATTCCCAGCACCATACATCCTGCTCCTTCCACCTGTGGCCTTTTCCCTGCACCCTACATCTATTCCTTGCACCCTACATTCCATTCCCTGCACCCTACATCCATTCCTTGCGCCCCACATCCCATTCTCGTCCCCCTACATCCATTCCTGGCACTCTGCATCCCATTTCTTCCACCCTACACCTTCTTCCTGCTCCTCACAGCCCATTATCCCACACCCTGTGCTCATGTTCGGCTCTCCACCCACTGCTCCATCCCCAACCTATCTGTGGGATTTGGGGTTTTTAGGGTGTCAATCGCGGTGCGCGCTGACCCCGCCACCCTGTGTACCAACCTGCTCGCACTCAGCCGCTTCCCGCGGCCCGCCTCCTTCTTCCGGCCGGTTAAACTCACGCAAAAGGGGCACCGGTAGCGCAGCGATCCCAGTACCGGAGCCGCACAGCCCTGGCACGGGCGGGAGGAGCAAAACAAAAGGCACAGTGTAGTGCTTTCGGCGCGACCGCGGCAGGACTCGAACCTGCAATCTTCTGATCCGAAGTCAGACGCCTTATCCATTAGGCCACGCGGCCACCTCCACTCCCGCCTCTCCGCGTGCCTTACTCAGGGAATCCCGGCGGGCCGTACCACGCGCGGAGAGGGGCGGGACGGGACGGGACGTCACGGCGGCCGGAAGCTCCCCCGGGCGCCCCGGTTTGGATCTGCCCGGCGGCCCAGGCCCCGGTGGCGTTTGCGGGGAGCAGGTGGGGACGGGGGGAATTTGGGGGTGAACAGCTGTATGGGGGAGAAACAGCTGTATGGGGCGAGACAGCTGTATGGGGGCACGGCTCTATGGGGGAAATATCGGTATGAGCGAACATTTGTACGGCATGCACGGCTGTATGGGGGAAACAGCTGTATGGGGGGAAACAGCTGTATGGGGGGAGACAGCTATATGGGAAAATATCGGTATGAGCGAGCATTTGTATGGGGGCACGGCTGGATGGGGAGCACGACTGTATGGGGGAAACAGCTGTATGGGTTAAAACACCTGTATGGGGGGAAGCATCGGTATGGGGGAAAATATCGGTATGAGCGAACATTAGTCCGGCGGGCACCGCTGAATGGTGAGCACGGCTGAATGGGGGAAAACACCTGTATGGGGGCACAGCTATATGTAGGGGACACGGCTGTATGGGCACACAGCTATATGGGGACGCAGATATATGGGGGGAAGGCTGTATCGAGCACAGCTATATGTGGGACACGGCTCTCTGGGGGCACAGCTATATGAGGGAAGGCTGTATGGGGGCACAGCTATATGGGGGACACGGCTGTATGGGGGCACAGCTATATGAGAGAAAATGTCTGTATGGGGGCACAGCTCTGTGGGGGAAAGGCTGTATGGGAGCACAGCTATATAGGAGAAAATGTCTGTATGGGAACACAGCTATATGGGGGGAAGTCTGTATGGGGGCACAGCTGTACAGAGGAGTGTTGACAGTGTGTGCATGGCAGTGATCAGTGCTGAGCTCACCCTTTGCCTTTCCCCCCCGCAGCTCCCCTCATCCCAGGGGGACGATGAGGCGCGTGCCCTGGGTGCGCTCGGTGCGGGGCTGCAGCCCCCAGCCCCGGCGCTGCCCCTCCAGCTCCTCAGCCAGCCGCCCCCTGCCAGAGGAGCCCGGCCAGGAGCCATCCACGGGCCAGCGGCGCATGAACCCCCTCAACATCCAGATGCTGTCCAGGAGCCTCCACGAGCAGATCTTCCGCGGCGCCCGGGTGCGCTACTCGGCGGAGGAGGTGCAGCGCAGCGTGCGGCACCTGCAGCAGCACGGGCTGTGGGGCAGGGAGACCTCCACGCTGCCCGACGTGGAGCTGCGCCTGCCCCGCATGTACGGCCGCGACATCGACGAGCACTTTCGGCTGCTGGCGCAGAAGCAGAGCCTGCCCTACCTGGAGGCGGCCGAGGAGCTGCTGCGCTGCCAGCTGCCCCCGCTGCCCGAGCGCTGGGCCTGGCGCCTGGGCTGGACCCGCTACGGCCCCCAGGGCCAGGCGGAGCCCGTGGAGTTCCCCGAGGAGCGGGCGCTGGTGCTGGATGTGGAGGTGTGCGTGGCCGAGGGGCACTGCCCCACGCTGGCCGTGGCGGTGTCCCCGCACGCATGGTGAGATGCGGTGCCAGCAGCAATGCTGGGGACACTGCAGGGCTGGAGGGGATGGTTGTGAGGGGATGGGGATGGTCCTGAGTGGAGCCTCTTCCTTCAATCCATGCTGGCTGGCAGGGAAGGCACAACAAAGCCCCAGAGAGTGGCTCTGGGATGTGGGGTGTGTGTCCTGCTTAGCTAGAACAGCTCTTGTGACAGTGTTCACAGGGGTCCAAGGATGAGGGAAGAGATGAGGATCTGACTCCATGTTGCAGAAGACTTGATTTATTATTTTATGATATATATTATATTTAAAACTATACTAAAAGAAGAAAAGATTTCATCAGAAAGCTAGCTAGGAATAGAGAAAAAAATAATGACTAACAAAAGCTTGTGGCTCGGATTCTGTCCAAGCCAGCTGACTGTGATTGGCCATTAATTAGAAACAACCACATGAGACCAATCACAGACCCACCTGTTGCATTCCCCAGCAGCAGATAACCATTGTTTACATTTTGTTCCTGAGGCATCTCAGCTTCTCAGGAGGAAAAATCCTAAGGGAAGGATTGTTCATAAAAGATGTCTGTGACAGATTGGGATGGTCCTGAGCGGAGCCTCTTCCTGCATCCACTGCTGGCTTGCAGGGAAAACACAACAAAGCCCCAGAGTGTGACTCTGGGATGTGGGGTGTGTGTCCGGCTTAGCTAGAGCAGCTCTCCCTGGGGTTGTCCCCTCCCTCGCACAGGTGGGGTCCTGCTCAGCCCCCCATGGCACTGTGGCTGCTCTGTGACAGCCACAGGTGCCCTGTGTCCCCCGCAGGTACTCGTGGTGCAGCAGGCGGCTGCTGGAGCAGCGTTACTCCTGGTCCAGCCACCTCACCCTGGCCGACCTCATTCCCATGGAGAGCCCAGCAGGTGCCAGCTGTGCCAGCAAACAGGACTGGACGGAGAGAGTGGTGGTGGGACACAACGTGGCCTTCGACCGGGCGTTCATCAAGGAGCAGTATCTCATCCAGGTAATCCACTGAGCCTTGCTGTGCTCTGGCAGCTGCAGTTTCTTACCCAGATAATCATTTGTGCCGGCTCTTGAGGGTTATTTTGGCAGATGCTCTTCTGCACAGTACCCCAAGTTTGTGCTCACTTTGTCCTGCAGAACAGGTGGAGGCTGGATGTCTTTAGAGGAGGATATTCTTGCAC